CATATTAAACGAGACGCTACCGACTGAACTTCATTGCCTACGCCTTTTTATAATGTTATAAATAATATATAAGTCAACTTGTCTATGAATTAAGATCGGAACACTAAATAGCACTGCACTTGTATACTATATATAAAATTTTATATACGATGACGGGTATAAAACATAAGATGATAGGGATAAGAAAATAACTTCGATGTAATGTGAAATTAATAAAAAATCAGAAGCTAAATTCGATCTCGCCGCGGTAGGTCGGTGAGCCAACAATTTGATACAATTACATCAACCTTATTTATGATTCCCAGTTATTTTCCGAGAAAGGTGACGATAAATACGAAATCTCATGTCATTAAGGTGTAACGCACACTCGTGGAGGTGCGTCTGATAATATTAATACGTGTTACTCATAACATACCACCAAACATCAGCTTCGATCTCTTTAATAATTATGTTATAAATAACTTTAGAATTTTCCATATAATTTAAATATATTTTTTATTCTTGTCGCATGTGTGCGCGACTCCTTATAGTTTCGATAGGCCTAGTGATACACATCGAAGCTCTTAATACAACGGAATAAGATACATAAACGATTTTAAAATATTAGTAATCTTAAAAACAGTTACGACATTACATCAAAATTAAATTAGCATTAAGACGACCACGTGTCAAGAGATTTTTAATTTCTATTTAAAACACTCAACAGACAAACTAGTCGAGATTTTAATATATTCCGGTAATCAATTAAGTGTGAGTCAGATTACTGAGAAGTTTTCATAACTTAACTCCGTGATCTACATTCAGTGATGCGTCTATCTTTTTCCTTAAACATTCACATTTATAGTTGTATTCGAGATATACTGCGAATTTTTGGACAGAGAGTTATTCACAGAACTTTATGAAACAGGAAAGAGCAACTTCAAATATAACTTCAACTTAACTTCAAATAATAACTGAGGTTAACTAAAAATTATTACAATATCACTAAAGTTCTCGTTAGAGTTTGGGATCAAAATAAATTAACTTATGTGATGGACGGACGCACAAACGACGGGCACACATTGTTCAGTTTTTTAACGTACTCGTATATAATAATTATGAACGACTACATTAAATTCGCACGTCATCCCGACAAAGTCTAACAATCTCATAATCCAGTCTCGTTCCAAATTTCACAATAATGATCGATAGTTCTCAAACCGTCTGAATTTAATGAGCATTCTATTTGAACATCCAAAACTCAACAATAGACCCAATCAGAGAAAATCACAAGCCACCGTTAGCGTCATAATTCCTAAGTCTAATGAGCGATTCAACTTGCCCGACATCACAACGCCCTACCGTTCGTGTCACAAAGGAAACGAAAGTTAGCACTGTAACGCGTTAACAACGATCGAATTCGGCTAACATCATCGATGTATTTGATGCACTTTCACTCGCCCCGATTGACATCTACAACTAAAGATAAAACGTATGGAAGAAAATTATCCGCGTTAAAAGAAAAAATCTAAATGAAAGTGTCCATAATCACGATACGGTCGGATTGATATTAAAATGGCGTAAGAGCATTAAAATTACAGATCGCAGCGGGCGCTTTGGATACCATAATGATGTATAATATAGTTACAGTCCATGAATAATGTATGAATACGATATTCATTGGCTTGTTACTCGCTCATTTGGTATTTAACTTAGGTGCTTCTTATATTGTAATTATTAATAAATTAATAATAAATTTTATGATAGCACCATCATTCCCCCGCATTAGTTCCAACTAATGACCGGTTGTTAGATTTAGTTCGTTTTTAAACAAAGCCTTTACCGTGTTGAGATTCATGTACGCAATTTGCTATCATTCCTAAACACAATGGCGAAAGCCTTAAAAGCCTACTGCCTAATAAGCTATAAATTATAATAATTTAGGTGATAATACAAGAGAATTTAATTTCCTATAATTCAGCACCAAATTATTGTTGTTTATTACATATAATATATTAGCTTTGCGTTATATAGCACTGACAGGGTTCAATCGGCGTAAATAACTGGCTAATAGTCGATACGACTATTAGAGGTACATAAATAATATCATTTTATTTATTTTACTCCTCTGTTTTATACCGTTTAATATAGAACAATAAAAGTGGGACGTTTTCAGTGTAAATTATGCAATTAACATTCTCGATACATTTTCCCCTGTATTACCTAATTGAAATTAAGTTTCAATGGTGGCGTCATAGCAACAGTTGTATGTGTTATTTTAGTGAACAGTTTCTAAGACTATATTTGATACACTCTCCATTAGGTACATATACATATATTGTGAAGCTACGTTCTGTGTCAATCATTCTGACGGCGATTTGCGTTTTTAGATCCTTATCAGATGTTATTGGATGTAGTGTACTCAGACAGACATGTTTGTATTATGATTTAGATTAATTTGTACATTAAATATCGTGCTCCAATTATCGTACCTATAAAATATTATAAGTTCTATTTTTGTTACTGTGAAATTATGATATGTATTGAGAATAGATTGTTTATAATATTTTTTTTAAATTCTAACATAAAAAATAATATGTATTTATATAGATACTCTTAGATTTTTCTTTGAAAATAATAGTTCACCGACCCGAACAACCAAATAAATTACTTTGCTTCAAATAATTTATTTTTCATATACACGAAAGTCCGATACTTTTAATACCTATTACAACATTGTCAAACAAATCATGAATAAATTATTTCAATAGAATACATCAAAAATATCCAAGCAACCTTGTATTGATAAGAGATTTCAATAATATTTTAGTTGTTTTGCTCGAGTTGGCATCAAATGGACCATAAATAGAATGTGTCACATCTCCACGAAGCAACTCATTAATAATTCAAATATTAATTAATAAAATATACGAGATAACCACGGGCGGTCTTTAATATATTTAATGTTAAATTTTTTAACACACCTATTACGAATTTATATTTTTATACGCGAGATTTCATCTTGAACCTACTCGTACATCCTCATTCCATAGAATTTAAGTATATTAAAAACCCTTTAAATATTTAATACGCAGTAAAACCGTGGCTAAACGACGGCATGTAATTATAATTTGTGTTCTGAACTATCAAATATAAAAGTTTAAAATTCGTAAACGGCAAGTGTCTTAACAATATTATAACACTAAGAGTTAAAGCCGTGTTAACTGTTCACAATAAATCAGCTTTATGTGGAAATTAATTTAAATAAATGCTTATTTATGTTAAACACCTAATCGTCTGCGGAGATTATTTTATTTAATTGTGTCAGTCATACAGACAGTGTGGCGGACTTGTGGATGCGATGCGTTGAAAACTTGCCTAATTACTGATACGAACGGAGATAACAATCGTAAAAAAACTAAAATATAGCCACGCCAAAACAAGCCTTATTGTTTTTAAAGTTACGTCGTTAATTCCGTGTGCCATATTGTTATATGCTATACATATATGAATGTAAATTCCTAACGTAGCTCGTATTTCGTTTAATGTTATAAAAACTAATCTATGCTAGTTGTTATATGTGACAGAATTAAATTTACGTGTTTTTGTCATTGATAAGAGGTGATTAAAACGGTAGTTCATAAATTATGGAGCGATTTTATATATTGATTTTATATAAATATTTAATAAAACTCGTAGACTTGTATACATTTTAAATTATATTTTTATATAACTCTAGCGATATCCTTATTTCTTGAACGGATCATTTCTCTGTGCGCCCGTTAGTGCAAAACCTGTGGAGGCGTCTTATGCACTTAACTGAAAATTGAATCGACCGACATTACCCGACAAAAACTGAGCAAATTGATTCGGGTAGCAAATTGCCTGCCACGACAATTTGTTGTCGCTCCCTGGTCTTGAATCATGTAGCGGGTCTATTCATATAGACTTATTAATATTATACATTTTCCATATAACAAGTGAAAATTTTATTATCTGTAAAGTAGACTCTATAAATGTACAGTTTTTCTATGACAATAAGGAATTGTTGACTTTTGATTGAACAAAAATTATTACGGATAATGAAAACAATTTAAATTCATTTCAACTAGCAGATATTTTATGTACTTTAAAATTAAAATTATAGTTATGAATAAATAAAATAACTATAATAATTTTAATAGCGGTTGTATATAATCGTCAATTAAGTAGAAGTTATTCTCAAAGGTTCCGTATAAAAGCGACATAAAAAGCTCCATATTAAATTCATGTCATGTAATGTTAAGTCGAGTGCGAATTAGCGATGTTTAAAAATTACTAAAAACAATGAAGTCAACGTGAAAATCAGTAATCGGACAATTAACATTGCAAGCCACAAAAAAGTTAACCAGAAACGGGCACAGCAGTTCACAATTAACGTACCTTTAAGAGTAGGTTTATACGCTTGATTTATATGTGATGCAACGAGTGTACCAACATAATACAACAGTCGGCTATAAAGAACTATCCATTAAAATATTGATAATGAATTTCCTATTTTAAAGACTAGAGTAGATATTAAAGAGAATATTGATAGCTAGTTTATAAAAATCATTGCAAATTATAGTTCTTATTTATACAACATCTGATGAAAAACATAAAGGATACAGTAATTGATCGTAAAAGATCAACTTTCAGTTGGGAACATCAAATAGTTAGAGAGTGGATATTCTAGTTTGAATATTTTTATATTTGTTACTATAATATGAGCCTGATAGGTTATCGATATAGCATAATAAAATCACAAACATCCTTGTACCGCGCTGCAATCTATCAAGTGCTAACGTCTCGCCATTGAAGCGTCAATCGCATTCAAATTGAACGACATTTACAGCTAATATTTATGACTTTACCATAAAAACTCTATTCTTATAGTTTTTATATTATATATGGAACATTACCTAATATGACCAGTTGTAAATTTATATAGCTTTTATATATTTGGATTGTTAATTTTATATATATAATATGTTTCTATTTACCTTACATCCTTCACATGTGAAAGCACCGAAGTGAAAACCAGCCGCCGGCTCCCCGCAAACCTTGCACTGCTGATTCATCTGAAACAATTGTATTGACTTTAATTATATACACAATATAAATATATTATTAAATACGGCTATAATAAACGAAATGCTTACTGTAAATATAATATACTAAATATAAACAATTATTTTGTGTGCTCAATATTGTTGAGAAAAGCAATTTATTATAAATTTTTGAAAGCCATATAAATAATTCGGAACCTGTCATTAATAGTTGCGTAACACAGGCCACAGAGATGGCTCGAGTCCACTTCTAATGATAAAAATTCGAGCATTCGTATTGACATTGATTATAACAAATAAATCGTGACACGAACATAATAAAATCAAAATAAAAATTTACCGAATCATTACCAATTCAACGGTAGTATTATTTGAGGGACCGGAGTATTTGATTTATATTAAAAAAAATAACTAAACATTATGTTCATTTCGTTTATAATCTGATCGATTTTGAGTCTTACGTGTAATACCTTCAAGGTTTAAATACGTCTACAGACGACATCCGCAAGTCAAGTAGCGGTAAGAGGTCGTCAACAAACGTCATTTGAAAATGATGGTTTATTTATTATTTAAATGTGTGCCACAACTCAATTATTGATGTCATTCGAGTCTTGTTAAGTAACACTGATTTTTTCTTATACATTTTGTTGTTATAATGTTATTAATTTACCGCATGAACGATTTTGAAATTCTTATTAGTGACCTTAGATTTTTTTGTTATGAATACTAATACGGAATCTCCATGGGTTTGATTTCTGAAGTGGCGAAGGATTTACGTCAAATCAAACATACATTATTTATATGCTGTCTTATTTGAATTATTATTACGGTTTAAAAATTAACCATGATCTAGAATTGTGACCCTCAAGGGTATATAAAAAGGAGTCGATGTTTTAATTAAATTCTATCTTTCGTGACTGTTTTTACGATATGCGTTATCAAAAAGCTGTTAACTTAATATTGACGAATGTATAATGATGTAAAAAAGACTTGAACTATTGTTTCACGAAAGAATATTACAAATTTATATGATCTGTACTCGAGTATTTTTCATTAAGAAACTGTACCGTCTTATTTCATTATTAATAGTGTATCGGTAAGTAGTAGATCGATAATGTATCAATAAGTATCGATGTCATTTCGAGTTAAAAACAAAACGGAGTGAACAACATCCGCGGTGATACATCGCGTGATTGCAATGTGTATTTTATTTAACAGATTTGAGAGTTCCAACGAGAAACGAGTCCACATATTTCTTAAAAATTAAATAAATATACGATAATAATACGTTGCAAGTTTTAACTGGATTGCGTGACTGTGAACGACGTTTACTCTTTACGTTCCGTTTTGACATGTTAACTTCTCTTACGAAAGTAATAAATCGAGTGATGTTTGTATACGTTAACGAGACAGCGCCTCGATGGGTTTGTCGCAGTGTTGTATGGAGCGGACCACCTGCTTTGGAACTGTGTTTACGCTAATATATATGAGATTATTCCAAAATAAACTAATGTACTATTAAAATTCAATTTTTCATGTTAGAAAAAGAAATGAATAAGATGAAATTTACATCCCAAATAATTTTTCTCATAATTTTTTTAATAGCATTGTATAAGTTTTAGTTTGATTCGAATAAGAATAAAATAATAGAGTGAATAAACTTAATGAGACTCAAAAAACTTTCATTGTACAACTATATAGCATATTTTTAGAGTGTGATATAATATATGTATATTTCCATTTAATACAAATGATTACAGCGCAATGTACTTAACATTATCTGAAAAATCGGAGGCGTGATATGTAACAAGGTCCGGATTTAAATACAGCCTTTTTTTGTAACAATTAGTTATTCGAGTGTATTGCATATTTCTTTGCCCAGCTTATTAGCATCGGGGACTTATAAGGCAGAGATCGGGAAGCTCAATTTATTAAGTATTTATACAGAAATTTTATTTTTAATTCGTTTCCACCGATTCCGTTTATATTTCATACATAAATGGTATTAATTGAGAAGCTAAATACTATCATAATATACCTTTTATATATTTAAAAGGAAGGTCGAAAATAATATTGTAAATAAATATAATCCGAAAAGGATTCCACCATTAATGCATCTCCGAAGGCTTTAAGTAGCGATAAAAAACTGTCAAAGTATGATATTAATTGTTCTGATTTAATCTCTGCAATCATCTCGTTCGTTTGTGCCGAATGATATATCAAAGTCTGAAATTTGGGTTGGATTCTGTATATTATCAGATGTTGGTAGCGGTCGGGTTAATTAAGTAATATGGAATGACGGACCCTGAGGTATCGGTCATCAGTTATGATCCTTTTTTGAATACTTACAAATGATTCAGATTTATCACCGAGTAATCTTACTGTCTTCAATTATTCATTTTATTATTGCAAAAGATCTGCCATCAAGCGACGTCCCTTTAATGTTAAGAAGATTTTTGTAATCATATTATTTATCGTATATATAAATTTAATGTAAGTAAATTTCAACTAATTTTAAAGTCTATTCCATTCGCACTCGCGATTGACAAGTGAGAAACATTTCGTTTAAGGAAACTTCTGTATAAGGAGTCATGTCTAAACTTGGTCGTACCGGCTCGCTTTGCATACCATCCGAGCACAATCCGATTCAAAAACTATAGAAATTGTCTCACGTAGTGGCAGTGATGGGCTCTTATACCTTAAACTCTAACGGCTTCCATTTGTATAACATTCTCCTACACGGAACCTCCACGGGTACTGTACTATCAGCTTTATTATTATATGTATTATTTGATCAGAAATAATAATAAAGAAGACGGATTAAACGCTCGGTAGTCGCTCAAGGTTCTTAAAAACTAATTACTCGCAACTGTTTTTGTAATTAGTTTTCAAGAGCGCTACATGTCAGAAATATTTGTATAGTAGAAAAATAAAGAGGCTACTCATAAAAATAATATACTTGAAAAATAACTGTTATTTTTGTTTGAAATAAAATCTGGTTAGGCTTAACAAAATCAATAGTAGCATCACAATACTAAATAATTAAACCATATAAACTAGAGTTACTATTAGTTTAGCTAATACTAGAGTTATGTTTAGTATATAAAAACTATTTTATAATTTCCTGTATGATTTTCATATAGACATTTTATTAAATACGTTTATTAATATTAAAACCACTAATGATTAAAAGTTTTTTCACTCGGAATTAACTTATTTAATTATAAAAGATTTTTTTTATTACGCTACATATAACAGTAATGAAAAATTATCACTATAGTCTGAGATATTGTAATTATATTATATTTACACAAAACACATTTATTTAAAGTTCATGAAACAATATTTTAAAAATCTAAAGTGCAATCTCGGTTCGTAAAATGTAACTATATCATAAAATATACTTTTTATTCCGCGAATTTCACCAAAAGTTCATCCTTCCACCTGCCTTAAGTCGACCCAATTACAGCGCATAAATCTTTGGAAGGCGTGGCCATGCTACCACGATATTTGAGATCATGCCGAGTCATTAAAGGATAATGGCGATTTACGATACCGTGGTACAAGCTCGCATTACATAGTACAGTTAACATTACAAGGGCAAACACATCGTGATTGAAAATATTAATATATACATCGGAAACATTATTGTCATATTATAAATAAATTATGCTTATATTTTTTTTGTGATACCTATCCTACATGATGTTCATAACAAACAGTGAAGGGCATTAAAAACACGAGAGATTAGGAATGGAATTAATTAATATATAAAGAGTACTTGTAGTAACTTTTGATGTTTGAACTAATTAAATATTAAAAATCATATCAATAATGGTTCATTACTTTAAGAATAGGATAAAAGACAAAGGCATGCTCAAAAATGGCATATTTGATACATATATGAAAAACAATTTATTTAAGACAATATCGCTGGTAAGATGATAGTTGATACGTAAGTAATTAGTATTAAAAGTTCCAACCTCGCCTTTGCAAATACATAATAGATATTTATGGGATAACGCCAGTCTACGTATTTATCTGACACGACGACATACAAAAACACATGATACTTAACTGTTACGATTGTAATATATTAAAAATTAAAATTTATAATTTGTAAAACATGAAAAGACTTGCATTGAAGAGGTGAATACGTTTTTGCTAGTACATTGTAAATTAATACTAAATGAGCAATTAATTCGATGCCTAGAGAATTCACAAGTTAATAGCTCAATTAAACTGACAAAGACGAAGTTGACGGTAACTAGCTCCCCAACATGGTCATTCGGTAATAAGTAACTGATGCTAATTAGATCTTGATTATATGTTACTATGATAATAGTGTTACCTTAAATAATATCTCATTTGTGTATTCGGGATATACATCATTATAATTCAAAGCAAAAAAATTCAACAAAATAAGCCTTGCTTATATTTTTTCCAACACAAATATAAAAAATTCTTATAGGTACAAAACAATTATTTTATAATTAATAAGTCAACTAGTGTCCCCTTCGAAATTACTTTCATAATTTTTTTGAATGAAAATCGTTGATAATTTCTGCTGCACCTTATAACAGAGCTGTCAGCTTCTCAATCAAAAACTTTAACAATAATAGGAGGCCAATTAAACCAATTTGAATTTCCGCCAAGCTGTCGCATTAATGAAGAAATTTTTTTTTTAATAAAATTGAATATGGCGATTTCGTAATTAACGATCGCTATCTTAAATTGGAGCCGTGTATGAAGACATCATTGTGGACCAGCTAACTGTTATACCAATAAACCAACAGATTTTATATTAAGGTTGCTTGAATCAATATTATATTACATTAACTTCAGCAAAGAGAGCATTATTGATTATTTATACTGTATTTTAGATTAGTATTCAGATATATTTCAACGTTCATATATATCAAAACAAATAATTATATATATTAAAAATCATGTTCAATTTAAAATGAACCAATATTTGGATGAACCAAAATCAGAAAAACTTCAAACCAAGA